GAGAGATTTATGTACTATCTTCACATGGCAAGATATATAGCCCTTGGCTCTGTCCTGTTTATATTTCTTTATAAGATCGATCTTTTCTCAAGTATACTTAATTTAGTTAAGCAATTATTCGGAAATGATTATAATCAATGTAGTTTTGGAAATCGTGTTCCAACACAACATTATACTGCTCGCGCCCCAACTACTAGCCATGAGTTAGACACGTTAGATTCAGAAGTACTAAGACATTTGATTAGAAATAAAATTTGAAGATACATCAAATTTTTATATAAGCAGGAAGGTGTGACCATTGTTCATATATCTATTTTAGAATTTAACCTTAGGATAAGAAAGCGTTAGAAATACGATCTCTTCTTTCTTTTCTTTCTGTTTCGCTTTTTGTAACCCTTGTCCCATTTACCTACGGAGGCCCCTTAGGATAAGAATAGAAATAAGACTTTCTAAAAACGGAAGATATCTGTTTAACAACTCAATAATTCGAATTTTTTAGAAATATTTCCAAAGCCTTAATAGAAAGCGCTTGGACTAAGTCAGTCAATCCATTGAGTCCTGCGAGACCGGTCGCATCTAAAAATAAAAATTGTTTTTATTTGAAAGAACATTATTGCCAATTTTACAATTAACAAAGTGAATTTTGTACAAGATCAAGAATAAAAGAATAAAAGAATAAAAGAATTTTTATTTGAAAGAACATTTTATTGCGAATCTTACACTCCGTCTGTCATTGACTTGAGAATTGTCTCTAATAATTTGATCCCCTGGTGCCAGACCACGACTGGCCGCAATACTTGGGGCAGTGACCATTTCCCCATTGAACTAAAGCTGGGGATGTATCTTTTTGCCCTGCCACAAATTCCTCTACAAGCTCAAATTCAGCAAAGATCAGGACGCTGCACTTTATCATCGTCTACTAAACAGTCCTTATGGGAGCGCGACAGGCCGTGATGAGGGGCCCTCCGCAGTCGCACTTTACAATCAATGGTATGACGACGTCAAGAATGCAATATCTGATACTCTCTCTCTCGGCCATGCAACGCCAAGATCTTCTCCATTACGTGCGTGGGAAACCGCTGATGAAATAATGAGACCACTCGAACTGTCGAACAGAGAGCCGCCATGGCAGCTTTCAATCATCCTCCTAATAAGGATATTTATCTCAACAAGAGAATAGCTGCTCAATGTACCAGGACACTCAAATCAATCAAAAAAGATGGAAAAAACTTTATAATAGCTTTGATAGGAATACACCCATCACTAGGGTTTGGGGGCTCATCAAGGCCTTTAAAAACGCGATCTCTACTCTGCGAATTTCAATTAAAGTCGCAACTCCGACCATTTCAACGAAAATTAAATAAGCTATGTCCACCAACTTGCAAGCCTGGTGTTTATGGACTCGCTCGAGGCCATGATGGAGGTGGACTCGGGCCGCGCCACCCATACGTTCTTGGACGAGCCTATTCAAAAAAAGGAGTTCTTCGCCGCTATGTCAAGCTTAAAGAACAATTCAGCTCCCGGATTAGACCAATTTGACTGTCAGCTTATTAAAAACTTGCCGCCAAATCACAGCGACCACCTTTTGGCCATCCTCAATGATCTTTTCGTGGAAGGTGACTTCCAGGAAAGCTGGCGATCAATCTCTTATAATTTTTATCTCCAACCAGTAAGGAGGAGCCCCATCTCACTTATCTCTTGCCTATTAAAAACCTTGGAAAAAGTCATCTACTTTTAACTAAGGTGGCTCATCGAATCAGAGCGCATTCTACCTCGTTTCCAGTTGGGTTTTAGACCGGGACGCTCTTGTACCGACAATCTAGTCACATTAAATACATATTTATCCCGGCTTCGCGGAAAAAAAGAGCACTTTCCTCGTATTCACTTTCCTCGACATCACAGGAGCCTTCGACAATGTGATTCTGTCAATCCTCCTTGATGATTTGATGTGTATGGGGATTTCGGCCCAAGTTAGATTTATCGGCAATCTAATATATAAACGCCACATCTTTGCGTTCAGTAGAGGACGGCTTACTAATCCTTCAAAGGCACCCTCCCCCCTCCCCAGGGTTCTGCGTTAAGCAGAATTCCACCTGGACTCTAAGGTTAATAAGAACATGAAATTTTCGTATAGCAAGCGCATGTCAAAGGGCAGCTTTATGCAGAGTATTATTCAAGCCCTGCCGTTAATCCCTGGTATTCTCAAAAATCGCTTAAAAGAGAGGAAATTGTCATGATCAATCGCATAAGATCCAATCACTATAATCTCCAATACAGTCTCTATAGAAAGAACATTCAACAACAATTTTTCTCTTAGGCAATTAATTGATGCTTCAACTCGCTTAACATGTAATTCGGCAACCACCTTGGATCTTATTTTTGTTTCGTCGAGCATTAATTTGATTGAATGCATAGTTAGCGATGCGATCAGTGTGAGTGACCATCTTACCATCCATGCAACGCTGGCTATTCCACGACCACATCGGTCTGATCGTGTGTTTCGCGTGACATTCATGCAATCAGGCCTGAAGACATCGAGTATGAGCTAGAGCTGATAGACTGGTCTCCTTTATATGCGGCGTCGCATGATGAGATGGTCTCTTACTTTACGGCAATTTCTCTCTTACTGCAATTTTTGACCGACTCGCCCCGATTACTTGTAGGCGTATTTCTTGTTCCCCCCGCGCCGTGCCTGAATAGTGCAGTTCGACGGTTCATTGAACTGAAGAGATATGAGATTCTTAGATTCAGACGATCTCAGTCTCCTGCGGACTAGCAGTGCTATAAGGGTTTGCTGAACGACGTGAATATTGTTCGTCGTGAGAAAAAAGTCCTTTCTCTCTACCTCCCTTACAACTGGATTCCTCGCTCCTATTCTGGAAAAATCTCCGTGCCCTTGGCGGTGCACAATCCTCCTCTGCTTCTATACCTTTGCACCTCAGAAATCCTTCCCTCCTGAATAATCATTTTCTCAATATTCTACCTTCTTCGTCTTATTCCTCTAACTCTTTTACTCACTCTCTTTCCTCCTCTCCTCACGTTTCCTCGACCTTCAATTTTGTTCCAATCACTCCCAGTGATCTTTACAATATTTTTAAACGCATTTGCCTAACTTCCGCTGGGCCTCTTGATCTTTCCGGTTGCATACTCCTACTGTGCCTTCCTCAATGTTTTGATCCTCTTCTCTACATGTTAAATTTTTCTCTCTCTCACAGTACCTTTCTCTCCTCCTGGAAACACTCAATTGTTCTTCCCATTAAAACTAATAACCCCTCTTCTCCTTTATCTTGTCGCCCTATCTCGCTCCCCCCTTTCCTCTCAAAGCTGTTTGAGTATATCTGCTTCTCACAGCTTAATGCTTTTGTCTCCAATTTTAATATTCTTCCCTCCTGTCAGTCTGGTTTTCGTTGATCTCACAGCACGATGACGGAATTGCTTCACATCTCTGATGTCGTGCTTCGTAATTTCGATAATTGTCGTCTTACTTCCATCATTACGCTGGACTTCATAAAGGACTATCATGATTTACTTTTAGTTAAACTGAAGTTATACGGTCTTTCCCATCCTGCTCTCTCGTTAATCTGCTCGTTCCTTACAAACAGCAAATCGTATATAATCCTTTTCCTCTTTTTTCATTTACTCATGCCGTTCTTTCAGGTGTTCCCTAGGATTCCATTCTAGAACCTTTTTAATATTTTTGTTTGTGATTTGTCTAATGTTTCTCTGTCCTCCGAGCTCTTCATGTATGCAGATGACGTCATTCTTCTCAAATCCTTTCACCCATTTGATGTTTTAGCAATCTGTTCTGCTTTGAATACAGATTTAAAATCTATCGCCAAATGATCCACTAATAATGCCCTGCATCTAAATCCTTCTAAATCATCCTTACTAATTGTTCCTCAACATTGTTATCCCGTATTCAGTCCTTTGACATTTCTCTTAATTCTATTCCAATTCCTTGCTCCTCTTCTATTAAGATTCGTGTCCATGTTGACTCTTCATGGTCATTCGAGTCACACGCTGTCAAGTATCAAGCTGCTTATGCTTGTTTACGTCTTCTTTATCCCTTCCTTTCCTGCTCTCAAAAACTCCTCACTTCTCAATTACTTGTTATTTCCCTATTTATGATTACGCTGATGTCATCTACGTTCCTGCTCTTAACCAACATCTGCTAAATCGTGTACAGCGTATCCAAAATTCTTGTCTCCGCTTCTCCTATTGTGTTCGTAAATATGACCATATAAATATCTCCGTATTATCAGAGATCTGGCTTAAAATTTGGCAACATTTTATTCTCCACCTGTGCTGTCTTGTATTTTTCCTCCTTCGCTCCAATGTATCTTCTCCTCTGTATCTGCGACGTTTCCTTCAAACTCTGAGCATCATTCCTCTTTTAACCAGATACCAAGATTACTTATCCTTCCCCATATATCGGTCCACTAAGTTCCGTGCCGCTTTCTCCTACATCTCTGTCAAACATTTTAATTCCCTTCCTGATTCCCAATAAAAAACGTCTGCTTTTCTATCCTCCTTTCGTTCCGCTGCCTCGCGTTTCATTGCGTCACTTGTAGTATTTAAATGAGACTGATGTAATTAATGTGTTTGCGGGTGTATGCGCGTGTGTGTGTATGTAAGTAAATGTATGTGCATGTGTATGTGTATGTGTATAATTTCAGCTATTAATTTACCTCTTATTCTGGTTTTGTTATTGGTAAAGTTTGTAACAGCAATTTGCTGACGCCTAATCATTTGCAAGTTACAATTATCTATTGTATTTATGTTTATGTTAACTATAGTCTATTGTATTATACTTTATGTCTATTACTCTATTAATATGTAATCTTTTTCATATAGCTTTGCAATAAACTAAATTAAATTAAATTAAACATTGTAAGCTCTCAGGTCTGTCCTTACGAAGATCCCCGTCAGAATATTGATCACGTAATATTCTATTGTCAACAGACTAGTCTTAGCTGACAAAATCGTTAACTATCTTCGTAATAAATTCTTCGAATCCAACAATGATATTTTTTCATGCCTTTCATGATTAATCCTACTCCAAAACTATGCCGACTCTTATTGGCTTTCCTCCGGTCTGCGAATATACAAATATAGCTAGACCACTCACTCACCGGTGCCCCTCCTTCGAGAGTGTGCGCGGAGCGTGCTCTATTCCTTGAGATTCTATCACCTCTACTACCGTCACTACATTAGATACTGGCCGTATCGTGGCGTGTCACCGCGGGAGCCATTAACGAGGAAGAAGGCGGCACAAATCGACAAAAATGTCTTTCTATTTTGTATTCTCTGAATGTCAAACAAAATAGAATAACGTTTCAACTTGTATAAAAAATGGAAACATAATCATTAAATTATGGAGAAAAATTTACAAAATTCTTAGCCTATATAGCTACGCCATTATTATAGAGCTGATGTGAATAAATATTTTACATTTACAATAAGGACACACGCGCGCATGTATACACATAAGTGAGCGCTCGCACAACATACCACTTAAGTAACATCTTTCAAAAAAGCGTGTAATACAGTCTGATAAAAATGTACATTTTTCTCTTTTATCAATTGCTATCACTTTCCGATAATTCTGCATGTTCCTTAACTTTTCGTATTTTGTATTTTACCTTTCTCGTTTTGCTTAAGCCTTGTTTTGATTTCCTAAATATTTCTATAGCGTGCAATTTCCTTTCTAATGCGCTTTTCTTATCTTTCTCTCGTTGCGGTATATATTCCTTGTATTTCTCTTTATCAATGATTTGAGTAGGTCTCTCTCTTTCATGAATAGCATTTTTAATCTTATCAGTCGGTGTCTCAAGTTCAGTAAATTCAAATTCTGAATTCTTTTCTTTATTCGATTTTTGGACAGCATCATCTTTTTTACTTTTCTTAAATCGTTTGCCATTTATATTGCTATCCGTCTCTACATCGTCACTATTCAATCTGTGTAAAGCCTTCTGTACTCTTTTACTTAAGCTTGATTCAATCGAGCACGGAGACGCTTTCGCTTTCAAGTACATATCTAATAACTTTTGATTCTTGTTTTCTTTCATTCTCCTCAATACCGGTATCATTATATTATCGAACTTGTCCTTTGTCCATCCAAATTTCTGCCTGGCATAGTCGCAGAGAAGTACAAAGTTCGGCTTGTCCCAGGTAAAAGTTTCTTTCGACTCGTCAACCGTAGGAAAAAGATACGCTTGGACAACTGCTTGATTTGGGAAATCTGTCAAGTAATTAGTTATTCATAATCACTTATTCTACTTACAATTAGTTTTACTCATCCTTATCAGTCTAGGTGAAATTACCGCTTACCTTTGTTCAATTTCAGGCTTTGCAATTTATTGCGTAAGCCTGTTTTCCCAGGAGCAACAAACATTCCCTTCTTTATCCATGAACAAAAATTATGTAACCCATGTAATACGTTATCTCCATCGGCAGGAAACGCAGCTAATATTTCTAGCGCAGTAACTGGTCCAACGCCAGTCACTCCCGTGGTATAATCACTACCAACCAAAAGGGCCAATTGTATCAATTGATTGCGGTTAAGTTCTGTAATATATAATTATTTTGTTGTTAGATCTATAATAATTAATTTATTCACAGAAATAACTCATATATATATATATATATATATATATATATATATTAATTAGTATTATATTATTACTATTTTAGCTTAAGATAACAATGAGAATCTACCAGTACTTACTAAAATGATGTTGAATATCACAGGCACGAAATCGCAACATTCTTTTGTTGTGATTGAAAAAATTCTTATATACGCATTGACCTCCAAAAAGCCAGATATCGGAATCATCTGTAATTGTGCCGTCGATTAGTTTAATCTGTTCCAAATATGCACACTGTGCTTCCGCTTCCATGGGAGCTATTATGTATGGTATTCCGAATAAACGTAATAGATCCTATAAACGAATATAATATAACAAAACATACATAGCTACCTATACACTTTCGAGCATACCTGTGCATCGGTTTTTATTTGCTCAGAAATATTAGTAGCTTGTCTCTCGAATTTGTTAATGTCTCTCGCAAGTTCTTCCTGCTGATCTTCTAATTGTCCCTGTAATTACATAATCATATCAGATAAATAAATACAAATGCAATAAAATTATTGTCCATCCATTTATAGAAATAATGTTAAGCTTACTTCCAATTCTATCAAATCTTCTTTATTAGTAGGTAACACTTGTGGTTTTTTCTGTATACATTCATCTAAAAGATTATCGTGAGTAGGCGTATCCGTACTATGTTCGATCGACTTACTCGAGTTTTCGCTGTCACATATTATGTTTTCGTCATCCAGTATATTCTTGTTTAATTCAATATTTTTTGGCAATTTAGTTTTCGTTTTTTCCCTGATTGATTCTTCATGTATAGAATCTAAGATAAGATTATCTTCACTACTGTTTTCAGAAATTAATTGTGTTTGCTGTTCTTCATTTATCATATCAACAAGTTGTTCTCGCTCTGGATTCACTGATATAACTTTCTCTTTATTCACTTTTCTAAATATATCAGCAAATATATCATCTTCTAATTTTTTATCAATTTTGAAAGTTATCTCGATATCTTTTTTCTTCGTAGTATTTCTTGAAATATTCATATCATGTATCGGAACATCTTGAATTTCAATGAAATCGTCGGAATCGGATTCAGATATATCTATTCGTATTACATCGTTAGATTTTGGGGCAAGAGAATGTTTGTCAGATATTATTCCTTTGTCCAAACTTGAAACATCAGATGTAATAGTAATATTTGAAGTCTTGACATTATTATTCTCCAATGGTTTAACTTGAGTGAGATTATCCGATTCTGGACTACTTGAAATTAATTCATCGGCCATATTCTCTTTAGGTATGCATGCGTCTTTCATACTTTGTGATTCTACGGATTTCAAAACTTGCTCATAATTTTCAGGAAATGTTAATATCGATTTATCATCTGGCTTTACTAATTCTGGATAAATATCTCTTTTTATGGTATCTTTAATGTTTTTGCTTACCGTCTTGCGATTTTCATCCTTATTATGTTTAATAAGTTGCACAATTTGATTCTGGGACAAACCGCTATATTCTAACATGTATGTTAATGCAGGATTTATCATATTTTTCTCCATTAATGTCAATGATTCGTTTATATCATTTTCAGATTCCCAATCACTATCAAATGTGTATTCATTTATGTTTTCTACAATGGATAGAGCATTATCATAGATTGATACATTGTTCTCACTATCGGAATCGTTTAATTCATACTCATTAATATTTTCTACGATTGACATAGGATTACTTGGACCAGCAACAGGTTCAATTTCTTCATTTACAGTCTGTAATGTATCACTTTTGTTCGGCTCTGTTTCGTTTGTAACAGATTTTTTTGCTAACGCGTTTTTGTCTGCATGAAATAATGTAAAATTCATTATTAAATAGATCACGATGTATAACCAGAAACAATTAATGATATTTCAACATTCATTGCACGTACCATTCATATAAATCAATCTGGTTGTGCTATCCATGGCTACTCGAAAAGCTGCGTCTCTACTCTTTGTATCAACACCTTGTTCAGTCAGTAACTTGTCCAACTCTTCCAATGTAAGTGTCTTTCCACCCATTTCCTTTTCAGCGGATTCTAAAGATGTTTGCACATGTCTACGTTTAAGTAAACGTTTCAACTGGAAGCCTGAGAACTCTTGTGATTCCTACATCAAACATGATATACATATGTACTCCCACACACATACACATCTCACAATTTGTGATCGAAATTTTAACATATTCCTAAGTTAAAAATAAGACAAAAATCCTAACACCAAAGTCGAGGCTATAATAGTTTTTAAATTAATTAGTAATATATATTTATTATTTTTAATATCCTGTAATATTTTTGTGTTATGTACGCGTCGCATATGTAATTATTTTCTATGTTTAAACATGATTAGTGAGAAATATTTCAACATTATTGTATACATTATTCAATTTCACATGGGTTGAAAATAGGCTCGACATTTTGGTATTAGGATTTTTGTCTTATTTTTAAGTCAGAAATATGTTATTAAAATTTCAGTCACGAATTGTGGGATACTTTGCATATATACAGTGTTTAGATATTGTTTTACATTTGTACATACTTGAGGCATTTCATATAAACGACCCCAGGAATTTTGTTTTCTCGTTTCTTTAAGGTCTGTGAGTATGTCATAACGGACATCTGCAGGTAATGCTTTAAATTCGTTACTGGTTACGTCAACATTATGTATGTTTCCCATCCATTTGGATTGTTTTCGTGGACTTAGTTCGACAGGGGAATCGGAATCCTCTTCGTCGACAGGGGGATCGTCATCAACGTAACTTTGCGAGTTGCTAATACTAGGCATATCAGGTAGAACAAACATATCTTCGTTGGTTTGCGTATTTATTTGTATCGCTTTACTAGTTTGATCCTTGGAATCTTTATTAAGAACAGTTTTTACAACTCTGTGCTTTATCAAGTTATTAATCAAATCCGCCTTCATTTTCTGCGCCTTACTCATGGCAATAGATTTCTGCTTCCTGCGCGAGGCCTGCAAACACAAAAGAATGAGAAGGCTCTTTTCTCACTACCTGGTTCCCACGGTGAGCTAATTAAGTACGAACAATATTATAATCAAGATAGAAGAATAGTTTAGTTTGTACGTAAATGCATAGTGCAAAAGTTTAAAATTTCATACAATGAATCGTATCTTCTTTGCATTAAATACATGAGTTAGAGGTCACTAATTATTTGTTAATTAATTTGTAATCAATTGAAAAAGATATAATCTATCGCGTATTTACAATTGTACTTTTCTTGAGCATGGGTACTCCTCCATCAAAGACAAAAACGGGCTTAATTTTGTAATACAGAAGTTTGCATATCCTAGTGAATAATCCAAGCAAATGAGCGTTAGGTCTAGAAACTCCATGACAATCTTGGTATCCTTGCAACACTTGATATATCCATATCGATATATCTGTAAGAGATACATCACATCATCATAAAGTTTGCCATTTTATATTATAATATAATCAAAATATAATTAAATATAATTAAAATTATATTTAAGCTTTTGTGATAAGACTTATTATACACATATGTGTGCGTGCGCGTACGCACATACGCATACACACACATACACACACGCGCACGCGTTTTTGACTAGTTCAAGGTGTATTTCTTTCAAATAAACAGATTATTACTACACGTTTAAATTTTTTTATTTTGGAAACAGCTGTTTAAGACACATGTTTATATGGATTTTTGCCCTTGAAATAAACCAAAGAATCGCTCTATTGAATATGGCAATATACTTAACTAACAATTTGTGTGTGTGTGTGTGTGTGTGTAATACACACACACACACACACACACACACACACACACACACACACACATATATATATCAATACTGACCGATTGCTAAGACCTTGCCCTCGAGGCTTTCTAAGGGTACCGACTTTCCGGATGCTTCGAGCAACTTCCACAAGCCGTGTACTCCCATTATGTCATAGATTGCGATGATAGGGAAACATACGCATGTGTGTCACACTAAAAGATATGCGAACGTTTTCCTGATACATTTTTCTTCCATTATCTAAAAAAATTTCAACTGTTATCATCTTCAATTATTAACCTGAAAATACACGCGATTAACCCATTACTCATATCTAACTCGTACGTACACACTTACATGATTAATGTCATCCACAAGAGTATAAAAATCCACACACGCGTGAAAGCACGCGTTTAATATTTTAGCGTCTGCAGGCGTTCAGTGGAGTCGACTTAGGTCGGTGAACGCCGAACCGGCCGGACAATTCACATAGTTCGCACCGTTCGCAGTTTGTTCGCAGTCAGCTACAATCAGCTGACAAAGGAAGCAAACAGTAAACGCTCGTTAGTCGCGCAGTGGCAGTAATACGTACTACGCAGTTGCATTTGACTCTACTTGACTGATCTTGCCGCGGTATTTGAGCCTATTTTTTTTTCTTTTTCCACAGAGACGCGAATAATTAATTTACATAAAAAACAAAAAATATCTCTCTGTTGACGATCGGAGACGAAAAAATGCATGCGTTGTTTATTAGCACACTTTTCAAGTATATACAGTGGGTTTTGAACTCAACCCAGTTAGGTTAATCCATTGGTCTGTTTTCTGTTCCAGCACTAGACTGTTCTCTCTCTTTCTCGCTTTAAACAAATATCAGCGGATTGCTACAAAACGTATATCTATCTCAGTTTAAGTTCCAAAAGTGTACACTAGTTCAGCCACAGAAAACAGACCTGTTTGGATACCCGAAAATATCGTACCAATGGACCTTGTCCAATCAGAAATTAAAATAAAGCATGTGACGTCGTCGATCCAACCCGGGTTAGGTTAAAACTTCAAAGCCACTGCACTCGAAAACGCTAGATATATATATATATATATGATGCGCGTCTATCAGACGTATGTATCTATAATCCATATTACGCGACGCATTCGAGCGTTTCAAAGTCAGCTAATTCAAGTTTATAAATTATGCGCCGTTGTTTCTGCATCTCTATTTATTCCTTAGAGGCAACGATAATAATTAGAATCGCGCAATAATTACAATAGTAGATCGTATCGAGATCACGCTCGCGGTATAATTTTCATGCCGGTATCTTCGCGCCTCCACAGAAAGAAGCGTGGGAATCGGGTTTTGTAAAAACTTGATTTGCGGCACGGACAGCGCGTCGTCATATCACACGTACAAGACGATATAAGACGTTATACGATAAGAAGTTACGTTCGTCGAAACAGCCGAAAGGAGTAAAAATAAAGAAAAGAATGGACACATCGCGCCCATATATAACATGTTGCACAAGTCAATAATTAGGGAGCACCATTTAGCATGATTTAGCGATTTTATTCCTATTACACATCTACCTATGTATACTTTATGTCGCAGCGTTTAACGCACAGATATATATTTAATTTCTATATAACGGGTGAAAACTTTTCTTTGTTTATTATTATAGTTGACTATTATCGATACATATACTTGCGTTATTTCGAAATTGTTTACGTGTTGACCTGCAAATTATATATATATATATATATATATA